ATTTCAACTTCGAGAAATCCGTCGTTGAGGTGGATTTCAATTAAGAAATCCAACTCCGGATTTCCTAGATTTCCTTCTTAACTGGAATTTGCAAAACTGTTTTTGTGAGCAATAGTCTTTTGGATGCCAATAAGTGGGAGTAAGTGCGAGACTGCTAATCTTAAAAACAAATCCATTTTCAGATTTCCCAAAAAGAAGGAAAGAAAGGAAGTCCAAGGACAGATTTACCAGCATTGAAATTCGTTTTCGGATTTCGAGTGTGAATGCCAATTTGAATTTTGGATTTTAAAATTTCCCAATAGAGTATAAATATAAAGGCAGACTACAATCAGGGACAAAATTGTTGAGACATCCTTCTCAGAAGGGATAACTTTGGGCATCAAAACAATCCACACCCCTCCCCCCCTGAAAAGGAAAAAACCGTCTGCTAGTTTCATACAGTCAACTTTCTCTAAGACAGACACCTCTGGGACCGACGTCAAGTCTTGGTCTTAAAGAGATGTCTGGTGTCCATCTCATAGTTGTACGTCAAGAGAGACTCAACTGTAGTAATTCTTTTCTCTTTACAGTTGTGGACATCAGCAGATGGCGAAAATGAAGAGAACGAGGACAAAGAGTGAACGCTGTTGCCTTTGAAGTAGCCTATTTCAACAGATAATAAATTCTATGTCCCTTCATTATTAATCCAAATGACTGTTTGTATGCCCAGGCAGTGATCACCATGGCTTGCTTTTCCTCACCCTTACCTTTCCTTAACCAAATTTTGTCATGTAAAGTTGAATGATGAATGTTGTTTCCCCATCTTTACTAAACCTGCAGGATGATTTTAACTGTAGATAATTTGTGATGAAGACCGTTGCTGGAATGGCCATGTCACCAGTATGATTCTGTTGAAGACATCCTGTTGGGTTCCAGGGTGATTGTTTCCAAGCTTGTGATGAAGTGTTAGTGGTGGATGAGTAGAAACCGTTGTGGGGTCGTCTTACTCTTGTCCACATGTAAACCAAGGGCATGTATGTGTTTGATTTCTGATCTTGTGTCAATTGAAACAAGTTGTTTTGGAGGCGGAAGTGCAGTTTTCCAGGCAATGTAGTCGTTTTGTTAATCAATAAATGTAAGTTATCCTTTGTGTGTCACTATTTGTGTTGCCCTAACCTGTTCCTACGGACCCAGGGTGTGCATGATGTAGGAAAGTTTCCTGGGTAGGCGAGTTATCCCTAGTAGAGCATTTACAAGGCAGGTAGGGTAACCCTCTTGCGAGGGTAACCTTAGCACTCACGTAGGGTTACCTTAGTGCTAGGGTAACCCTACCTGCCTTGTAAACACGTAGTGTAAAAAAAGAATAAATGTGTGAGTGCCAGGGTAACCCTCTTGCTAGGGTAACCCTAGCACCAGGGTTACCCTCCGTCCTTGTAAACAGGTCCTTCGGCATGACAAATACTGTCCTATTACACTGTCATATTAGCACTGAAATCTGGACAGTTGATAGCCAGTCAGATTTGAGAGTTTTGTTATAGTTATGATTAAGCATGAAAGTGTTGTTTTCGCTTCGGCCTGTCTTGGCAGTAGACAAAGTAGGGCAAAATTACGCTACCCTCACCTTAAATCAAGGAACTTAAGAAAAGGTTTAGGACTTCAAAGGGTGGGGGAGGGGAGGCAAGGGGATTTGAAAAATTGTGTGTACCTCTGGAAAAATCCTGGCTGCGCCCCTTAAACGCATTTCATCTCTGAGATATCAGTCATCCATTAACCTTTTTAACCCCAAGATCCACATACAAATTCTCCAGACTGATCTCCATACATTTCTTTAAAGAATAGTTGAGAGAATTTGCTTTAAGATCAAAGCATTCTCCCTTTGATAATGAATTTAGTAATTCTCGTAACCTTTACTTTTGATGATCCACTGATGTTGTTAGGAGAAAATTGATGTTAGTCGCTACTAAAGGGTTAAGTCTGTCTAAACGACGCACTTGACAGAAGACGCTAAAGTCACCAGACCCTTACGTTTTGAGACTAAACGTGGAAGTCGCCTGTAAAAAGACTTCTAGTAGAAGTCACGAAAAAGATGTACATGTTTCTCAATGTCTTTATTAAGAAAGTACTTAAAGTAAGTACAGGCATCAATTTTTTTAATTGTGACTGTGTTGCATTTAAATTAACCTCTATCAAATTACTTCTATTACTACGTTGCTCGTAGTGTATTTCCCTAACTTTTAATGCCTTACTAGAATAATTGTAAGGCTCAAAGGCCAAAGACAAAACAGAGATGATTAATAATAGGCCACCTACAGGATGATGTCATTTTACTACTACGACCAGAATTCTTTTCGTTTTTCCTTTCATATTTATATTTGGTTATTCCAGCGAGGTTTAAAACCTTGAAGGATTCTGGTCCCAGTAGTAAAATGACGTCATTATGCAAATGAGCTATTGTTCTTTCCCCTGTACATGGAACATAAACACTAATATTGATACACAGAATACTTATTGATACTGCCGAATCTTGAAAGGGACGGACCATTAGAAAAGTTATGGGGGAGTGGGGGTGAAGTACAAAAGAAAAATTCGTGGTAGGGAACATCTTATAAAAAAAAAATAAACGCACGCCAAGTAGCCCTAAAAATATTCATGTACTGGCCTAAAAAAATTGATGCGAGGGAAATATTAAGGAAAAAAAGTTTTTGGGGCTGGGAAATTCTCTTCCTCCTTCCAGGCATGTCCCGATTGCGCTGGGCACTTTGTCGGCACTTCTTCGAATTTGGAGCACTATTTCACATTTCCAACATTCTTGAGCACTTTCTTGACTTTTAAGCAGAAGTGGAGCAACAGCTTCTTGGACAACATTTATGCCCTTTTTTTTTTACAATTTTCCACATGTTTAATGCAATATTTTGTCTTCGAAACGTTTTCAGTAAACCGATAAATTCTCTTATCACGAATTTGAATAATTCCACCTTTAGACTACTTGTCGCTACCCTGCGAGCAGTGGTTTCTCCAGGCCGGACGCTACGTGGAGAAATCACTGCTCGCAGGGTTCTTGTCGCCTGACTGTTGTCATAAAAATGCACAGTTATCCCTTTAACCGTGGGAACAGTCGGTTCACGTGAGAAAAAAAAACACACTGGTGTTTCACCTCTAGTTTGGTCACCTATTAGAATATAGAGGGCTTTAAGAAAACTGAGAATATTTATGAGCATCTGCTAGGAAATAATTGAAAACTACGGGCAACGTTAGAGCACTATTTCGATATTCCAAGCACTTTTTCAAAAATTCGAGCTCTATTTGAGCACTTTTTTTTGCCATGTTTTGACCACTTTTAGGCGGACTTTTCAGCGCAATCGGGACATGCCTACCCTGTCCCCCCTCCCCCATAACATTTCGATTGTCCGTCCCAAAAATACGTATTTGCAAAATGGAATTTGGCGGCCTCCTACTTTGAAGCTTTTCGACCATGTTACTTCATGGAGTAAAGCCTTCAAGAAAAATGAGGTGATAATTTTGGGCCATCATTAGGTGGTAACTTTTTTCATTATGAACAACAATTTACGACCAAATTGATATTTCCGTTTTGTGCCTCCTGGTTGACTATATAGACCCTCACTTTATTATTTCCAGGCACAGTCACCATATTTTTGAGAAACATGCGTTTCACGTACTGACTACTCACTGTACTCTAGAGCTGTTTTCGATTGAGTCCGAAACTGACTATGAATAGTCACTTATCAGCCAATCAGACCATGTACTTGGCGCGGACTTTCCAGCGAACCAATTACGACTGTAAGCAAACGTACCTGGCGCCAAGCGTTTCACTTCTGATTGATTAATATTGGCGGAGATTAATTTTTTTTCAATACTCTGTCCACTCACAGTACGTGCAGGCAATCATATGAACCAATCACATCTGGAAACGCGCGGCCGGCGCCAAGCAGTCATTTTTACGCGTTACTTTTGGTTTCACTTCTGATTGCATGGTTGAGAGAGTGGCCTGAGATTTTTTAGCCAATCAGACCTTTTAATACTCTGTGCAATCATATGAACCAATCACATCTGGAAGCATATATGCCTGGCTGGCGAAGAACACGGGAAAAATCAGCATGTTTTGTTCTGTAGCCTGTGGAGTCTGTACACAGGCTATTGTTCTGGCATTACACCTGATTGGTTTAAAAGTTGACGAGAGATCTTTGAGCCAATCACATGCATAATAAAGCAATCTACTGATTGAAACTTGATTGCAACTGTTAATAGAAAACTGCTCTTTAAACTTGATGAATGCGGTTCTAAATGATTCATGCATACATCGCAAATAAACAACCTTTAAATAGGGTGCGTTCCTTTGGAATATTAGAATCAGTGATCACTCGGATCCATGGTAAATGAAATGAACCTTTGAATCCTTTCCCAGGGTGGGTTCGTCGTTCCTTTGATATGCTATTTTCTTAGTGATCTCGGATCCCGATCCCGATCCCGATCCCGATCCCGATCCCGATCCCGATCTGGACCATCCTAATGGAACGTAACCAATAATAATACATATATTTAGGCAAGGCCAAAAGCGAAACTCTCGAGGGATCTTTTTAGAAATATCTTTCTCTAGTAATTCAATTTTTGCTGTAAGCAGAAAGCAAACTGAACATTTTACAGTTGTGAACTTAGTGTCCTAGCCTTTGTCGTAGCGTGAGGCTGAGGTTGACCTTGTTTTGATACATTAAACCTCCTCCCTTTTCAGATGTTAATTTTGCCTAAAAAATACTAGTTAGCATTAGAACAACATGATTTCAGCCTCGTTTCCACCTGTGACTGTAAATTGGGCTATTCCACCTTGAAAAAAATGGACCTGAGCCCGCGAGCTCCTCTAAGAGATCTCGATATCCCGATTATAAATTACAGTAGCTGTTATTTTTAACTAAAGCCAGTATCTTAATACGAGTTCATACACGTTGGACTACAAATGTTGGAATAGTTCCAATTCTTCCCTTGCGTACTCCCCCTTTCAAGTTTTATCACCCACTGGGTGCATCAGGGCTTGGAACACGTGATATGTGGATGGTGTCTTGATCTTCGTCTTCGGAGAAAAGAGCCATTCCGTCGCTGCTACGTGGCGAAGACGGATCTCGTTTTTCGGGCGGATATCTTACGAGGGATATCTGCTTCTCAAACCCATCTGGAGTTGTGACGAGGTACGTTGTCGGAATGACTGGCAAGCTTGATTGTCGCCGAAGTTTGCTTCGAAGTCTTTCCGTCCAACTGCCGTTTGAAGCTCGAGATTGGCGTCGGAAAACCTTCGGGTTCGTCAAAGGCTTCGGCGGTGGCGAAGCCGCTTTTGGTTCCTCGGGTTGGATTTCCGAAGATGTCTCCGAGCTGGCTCTGGACTGAATTTTGGGTTCCGTATGAACTTGTTGCTTTTTGTCCAGCTTTTGAATCCAGTTACCATAAGAAGGCGAATCGGCTTTTTTGGTTGTTTTGCCTGCATGTGGACTTGGAATTTGAATCGTTGCGGGTTGAAGTGGCGTTCGGTTTCGAGGTATGGGCGCTTTTTGGTTTGTCTGGCAACCGGTTGGCAGATGCTCGAACGTGTGGCTTCGGCGAAGTAACGATCCTGTACTGGAGGCCCGCTGGAGCTTAGGCGGAGAGAAATTGGCAACGACAAATCCGCATTTGGGGCACTTTGTTGGCGGGTGAGATTTCTCGTTGCTTTTTACCACAATATGCACTTTTGCGAAGTTCTCGAGAGAGCGTTCTGGAACAGTTTTTACGTTTTCTTTCGCTCCGCACGCTTTAGTTACCTTGTGGATCAATCTTTCGATGCAAGACTTGTGAAAATCTCGACCATAGACCATGGATGCTTTGAAATCGGCTATAAGGTGATCTGCCAGAGAGATTGTTTTCCCGGTCGCGTGTTTAGCTTCGACTTGGCCGTTTGACTCGTTTCCGCTATTATCGACAATTTCCGTTCGATAAAACTGTTCGGGCAAAGGATTCCGCAGAAAATAATTCGTCAGCCGCATTCCCACGATGGGAACATTGTACGACTTAGCGATGCCATACTGGTTCAGAAAAAAGCTGTCTTCTAGTGTCTTTTTACTGAAGATGAAGACAAATACACTCGCGTTGGAGATCGTTTGAAACAATTCCATATTTGTTTCTTGTCTTGGGTCGAGAATATCTGACCTCGGATGCGTTCGAGTTGCCCATCGCACCACTAAATTGCTGACTACAATGTCCCTAAGCGAGGGGTTATTCGGCTGATTCGTTGGCGTATTTAAGAACGCTTCTCCGCATACATAAACCAACGGCGACTTCGACGTCATCTAGGTGTCCAAGGAGTATATTATTGTCACTCTCCGGCTCGTAAAGTTAATTTTTGTCTCTCTTGAGTAGTTTAAAAACACTCACTGCCGGGTGGACGTACCTTTTTCTTTTTTTAACGGAAAAAAGTCTTGAGTTTTAGCGTTTTGTTTGTGTTTCAGCGTCGCGGTGGTTTGAGGTTGTCTTTCGTAGTTCACCGCGAAAATTTTATTGGAGACAGGTGTTTACTTCAGGCAGCTCGTTTGGTGTCCGTAAATCCTTCTTACATAGCCAAAGTTTATTTTCGCGGATTAATTTCTGTTTTCCGTTTCTTGCTTACAATTTCTTTTCACCAGCGAAAGCTTGTCGATTCTCCAGTTAGTCATAAGGTACTGAAAACGTCGCTTGCATTGAGAAAGAGCATTTCCTTGCTTCAGTTATGGAGCTACACGAAATAGAAGGAGAAAAATAGATGACTTATTTGTTTCAGACAGGCTTGTTAAAGGTGTAAGGCTGTCCTAAGAAAAATATTTGACAGGCCATCTGCGCCTTTTTTCCGTCTTGGTGCATTTTACGGCTGATATCGATTATAATGGCGTTCGACTATCAGCGCTCTTTCCACCAACGTATTTTGCTTGCGAATTATGTTTTTTTTTAACAATGCTGTGAATTAGTGGAATATATCCGTACTGCTTGGGTGTAATCTCCCCTGCTTTATCGGTTAATTCGAAGTTTCGTTAATTTCCATATCAAAACAAACTGAAAAGAATCACCAAATGAGACCTGACAATTTAGCTCAAACCTGACAAATGGCTCTTACATCTTATTGCAGTTCGTGATGCGGTTCTTTTCTGTCCTTTTTAGCCATGAGGAGTTCCCTTTGAGGCATTTAAAGATCTGGTTCTACTTATACTAGGCTGATTCGCATTTTGCCACCTTAAGTCTCGGAAGTAACGCCATTATTAATAATTGTCTGCAAACGACAAAACCTATCAAAACGCTTTCTTTTTTTATTGATTACGGCAAGGAAATCTCATTAATATTCATGTTCACAATATCCCCGCTTCAGGTCGGCTTAGCTCACTTTTGATACAGAATGTTTGTTTGTTAAAGGGGCACAGTGTCAATAAAGTGGCGTATTATTTTGAGACCAACGAGACAGGCTGTTATATGGTTCCAATATGGCTCGCGGTTGAGCTTGACTCGTTCATTCGCAAGCATGCAATTTTTGCCCTTTTTGCGTGGGCTTCAGGCTGTTCTTGCTCACATCTTAACTTTGTACTTTGCCCGCCTTGATTATTGCAACCCCATAAATTTGAATATTGTCTGTTTTGAATATCTTTTTCTTAAATGGCGTCTTCTATCTCAATAGTGAGGTCGGTGTTCTGTTCGGCAGGTGCTGTTCTGTTTTTCTCGCTTTCTGATTGGTTAGTTTAACAGCTAAAGGTACTTAAGAGGCCTTGGTAAATGTAAAGAACAGACTCGGAAATTGGTTCGTCTCACCTCATTGATACCGCAAAATCTACATGAAAAGTGACAGATTATCGCAGTTAGAGAGCACTTTGGGATTTTAACTCATCGAATTACCCCCCGACGGCGATTTCTTTAGTGTAAATGCATTAACAATAGAATTCTGTAGGCTATCCCATTGCAGCCTCTCCATTTGATATTTTTAGCAACTAATTTGACAGGTTTTTCAAGCAGGCTAAGATTCAACTTCGCGCAGAGTGCACAGTAATCAATTTTTGACATTTTGGTTTCATAAAAAAATGAATTAAATCCCGAAACAAGTGAAAAAGACTGCCGAACACTTACCCAAAGTCATTTCAAAGGGAGCTGTGAATGTAAACATTTAAATTGAACACACGTGGCTTTTTCCCCGCAGTTTTTTTGTCGGGCTGGTCTCTTTAAATCGGCCGCTCTGAATTAATTTACTCCACGGTGACAATAACAATGTCAATGCGTGAATATCTTGCGAAAAATAAAAAGAAAGAAAAGAAATGCATAGACGTCTAATCATTTGCGCACAATAGACAATAAATTTACCTTAAGGTACAGAATTTTCTCGAGCAAAACATGTAGCGAAGGCATCTTTTTTTTATCATACTTAATCGGAAGTGTTTTAGTTCATTCCCCAAATCAGTTACGTATACAGGCGACATGTTTTTTTCTTTTGAAATGTTAATTTTGCAGCGAATGTATCAAGACTAGATCGGGGGATGTGCCAATCAAGTGAAAATTCTTCAGCAGTACTATGTACTTCAGTCGCGTTGTACTAAAAATTCTATGAAATCCTCTGGTTTTACCATTTATTAAAAATAATGTAACTCAGCTTCTTCAGCAGTACGTTCACATGGCGCTATCGATTGTATTTCTTTTCTGAGCACGGCCCTGAAAACTTGTTGTCTTTGCCATACGCTTATCGACAAATAATCTTAGGTTTAAAAGACTCTTTTAGGTACTATTCTTGACATAAAAGGTACCCCTTTTGTATAACTTCTATTGACAAATGGTACCCGTTTCACATACCTAATATAGACATTTGCACATCCCTTTTAACTGCTACAAATGCACTCTCTTTTTAATATGAGCATATCACAAAACCGGAACGTTTTTGGGGCTTTTTCACACCCATAAAATGCATCTGGTAGCCCCTTTGGGCTTTTTTGACTGACCGAAATGACAGATTTCCGTACCATTTCATATACTTCAGAATTTAAACTTTAAATCTCTACACTTTAATATACCTAACGTTTGGAAAAGTAGCCCGCCTTTCTGGCGAGTCAAAGGCTCGTATAGACCATTGTAGGGAGTCGGTACCCCCCGGGGAGAGATGGTGGGTCGGCTTCTATAGGAGAACTAGTTATCTAATAACTACGGAACCGGGCACAATATAAAAAGGCTTTTATACGTCACGGAAAGTGGCTTTCTCGAAGATCTAAATTATGCTTAGAGAAATCCTCAGTTGTCGTAGTAGATTTATGAATTATTCAGTTTCCTCTACGGTTTTCCTCATGCAGCCGATATGAAAAAGTAATGAATGAATTGTTTTAGCTACTTTTAGTTCTTATGACGAAGACTGCTTCTAAAAGATTGATATATGTATACTTTAGCGCCATTCTTTTGTTGTTTCAGGAATTGATAGCTTTCATCTTTTACTAGAGAAACGAAATACAAAGTAAATTGAACATGTCTATGTATAAAATGCTTTGAGAACGGAGATTTTCGCGCGCTGAAAAAAGAAATATTAACTTATTCTAGCTTTCGCCCGGCAACGTACAGATCAAGGCATTTGAGCCGTATTCAATCCGAAAAAGCAAAACAGGAATTCAATCTTTTCACTGTGGAGATAAATGCTGTTTTAAAGACCTCCCTAATTGTGGAAAATTGATCCATCTACGTTTGTAGATGTAGCTTATGCCCGTAGTCCATGGGCAATTTCCAAAAATATGAAAAAGGCTTTTTTAAGAGTTTTGTTTAAAAAATCACCAACCCATGCGTAATATCTAGCAATTGACTGATCTGGCTAAAAAATAAAAGGACAAAAACGGTCCGAGTTTACTAAGTTTATATTAGAATTTAACTCTTGAAGTCGACTACCGACAAGAAGGTCAAGTTTGCGAATCAAGGAGAAAAGGAGATCAAGTTTGCGATTTCTTCAAGGACTGTAACAGAAGAGTTATAACTAACACTGAAAAAACGTCCATCCATCCGAAATCCAGTTCTTGATGATCTGCTTAAAACCTTGGCTATATAAGTCTTGCCCCTTTAGTCGCCATAAGTTAGTAGTAGTAGTAGTTGAAGTTTATCTTCATAAGTTGTTAATTATTTAACAAATTCTATTAAAAACATCCTCTGCTCGCAAATAGCTTGGTTAATCGAGGCGGGCAGAGGAAAACATAAAGTTTTTAAGGAGAAGAAAGGAAAAGAAAGATAAATCTATATAAATGACACTTTCGAGTTATTACCAAAAATTCACTTAAAATTTCATGGCCTAGTGCGGAGCTTGATAACACACCTCTGCACATGGCACTTGCACATTTAATGTTACTGTGAAGACACGCCGTGGGTTTAGCCTTTGGCTGCTGATGGACGTGTGTCACTTGCTCTTAACAAGTTAGTCATATATTTGATGTTTTTTTGTGGGAATGTTCGAGGAACTTTCTCACTAAGCGGGAAGGTACCAGGAGTCCAGTCTTTTACCGTATTTTCTTCACTTCTTTGTTTTTCTTTAACTTATCTCTAACAGCTAGCTCCCACTACTGAATCACTAATGACAGCTAATGACCGCTACTCACTAACAAGCCAAATAGTGGCGGTTTATGGTATTTTTGACAGTTTAGCATATAGGAACAGGCAAGAAATAGCTGCTTATAAAGGAATTAATTGTGGGGGGACTGCTGAGATATGTATGGTTGTTCGTTAAAAATTCGATCAGTTTAGGCCAGCATTCTCTTGATCGAACTCAAAAATTCTAGTTTTGTGACAAGTAATTTGGCTACTGTTTGTTTACAGCCATTTGGCAGTCGCTAGTTTGCGTTTACATTTGTCCTCGAGTTGTCGGCAGAGCAGCTGATATCCGGCAGTGTCGTAAGTAGTTTCTTTAAGAGGTTTGTTTTGTGTGAGTTTTGTAATTATGCGTGGACTGATTATTTTACAATGTTTTTTGCAATAAACTTGCTTCGAGGTCCTTGCTGACCTACCTGAGGCCACTGTATCTACGTACTCGCGTGGGTGTGTGTCTTTCTGGGTTCAGAGTGCCGGTGGCAAAGTTTATAGCCAAAGCTGGTCAACTTGCGTTAGCTCACCGTAAGCTAAATAAAAACGAGGCAACTGGCTGTGGCTATTGTTTTGGTACGTACATCTCTGAACGTGCTCAGCTGCGATCGGAAAGAATAAAAGCTACAAACCAATGAAAAACCAAAGACGTTGGTAAACAAACCAAAACAGGAACTTCAACAGGACTAAAGAACCCGAGTACTCTGACCTCACAAACAAAGCCACCTGTGCAAATTTCACATCT